TTGTTCACAATTAGTTTCATAATTTCAATTGATTTGGTTCCTGTACATATTTTAATTCGATTTTTTAATTTTTCTTATTTATTTCATTACATTTCGTATTAAAAAAAGTATAATAATACCACTTTATTTTAATCATGCCATATATGTAGAACTCCAGTAATATTACTGGAGCACAATAGCTTATAGAAATTTATTATTTTTTGATTGCTATTTAATTATTGTAAGAAAAAAAACTCTTGTACTCATTGGCAATATTTTACCGTATATTAATAAAATAGTGCAATCTTTCCGAAAATATACGCAACAATTTTAAAAAGAATATGCAAAGTAAAAAAATATGAAGAAATATAAAATTTGAAAAGATGTATGATATATATATTTAGAATAAAATACGAATAAGAGGTCGGTCCATGTGCAATTGGCTCCAGAATTCAGAATATGTTGAGATTATGTATCATAAATCTTGTCGAAAATATATCCAATAATTTTAAAAAGAATATGCAAAGTAAAAAGCATAAGACCTCAATGCACAGCATGATAAAAAAATCAGTCTTCCCAGAATAGAAAAAATATTTATAAAAATTACAAAAAAACAAACATTAAAGACAAATAGTAATGCACAAAATAAATTAATACATACTTGACAAATTAATAAACAAATAAAATAAATGAGACATTTATTCCTGTATAAGTTTGCTGTTAAGCACGCGATACACATACCGAAAAGAAAAATGAGAATTTGATGAGAAATATACGTAATATTTAAAGATAAAATTGATACAGATATAAATAAGAGATGATATAGGCATAAAAATTAAAGGCATAAAAATCATATATAAAAAAAATTAGTGGTAATGAAAAAGTGGCTGATAAGATAATATTAAATGGCATATATAATATAAAAGAAATAATATATATATATATATATATATATATATAATATAGGTAAAGTATTTTTCGAGCATAATACCAAGTATACCAATATAAGCAGTTAAAAATATGCAGATTCAACATAATCTTACACTTCGATTTCCATCGAGTACGTTGATTCAAATTAAAAAAAAAATGATTTGCAATATATTTTTAATAATCGAACAAATTAGATATAATTGAATTTACAGCATGTAAAAACTAAGTTATGTAGTTAAGTACAATAACAGAAAAAACATTAATTTCTCATTTATTATTGCTCTTCTAAAATGAAAATTTACTGTGTCAAAGTGTTCCTTCTACTGTATTGAAAAAATTTGATATTTACTAATTCCGTCTGGAACAGGTAATGATATTCAAGAACAGACCACAATGAATCAGCTTAATGACTCAACCATATTTATGCATTTTCAAAAGCAGGTAGACGTTACATTGACCCATTAAGGGTCATAAATAAATCAAAAAATAAAAAGAAAGCAGAATGGATAATTAGGGTGCAAACTGATGGCGATGTGTTGGTTTTCTAATATTAATTCAAGGGCTCTATTTGTCTCGTGTCTTCTAATAATTCACAAAAAAACGAGAAAATTATGTTGTCTGCGACAAAAATTCAGATACTTGTAGTGACGGAGTTTTTATTGCATTGTATTTTTATAATTGCTTAATAACTGAAAACCATTTTATCGTATTCATTACAAATTTTATATCAATTATAACATAAAATTAAACACAATGTGTGGTTCTGTTCAATCAAATTCATTTATTAATGCAAAGCTTTGCAAGGAACTTGTTAAAAAAATTGAGAAATAATAAAACATTTGTTACTTTTCAATTTGTAACATATATACAATTTTAACATTGTTAAATATAAACAGAAAATTTCATTCAATTTCAAAATGTATATGGTGCGGAGTGGATAGCAATAATAACAATTGATATGACACTTAAAATTTGCTCCAAAATATCATTTCTTGGTAATAATGGAATTAAATTAATTTGGGCATGAAACACACATCTTATAAAAATAAAATACGCAAAGTGAGAAAATAATCGAGAACGTGTTGGATTATAAAAATAGAACAAGATGCCATTCAAGTGTTTGTTGCGAAAGTATTGATTTGTTTTGTAGAACAACATTATCTGCAAAATCAATAAAGTTGCTATAAATAATTATAAAATTTTAAAAATACATTGAACGAACCTATGATTCAAAGTTTTTTACTATACACAAATATTTGTTTACAAAATTTTGAGTTAAGTGTCATTCGAAACGACTAAGTTCCCAATTAGTTTCACAAAATGACAAAGTTTAAAAATGTATTTGCTATGTAATATAATAGTAAATTCAATAATATTTTTAAAAATATCTTTAAAAATAGTTATGATGATTTATTAACCGTAAAAATGTAGAGCAAATACAAAACATGCAAAATTTTTATTTTATAAAAGAAAAATAAAATGATATACAATAGTAATAAATTTATCACAAGTATCGGTGACAAAATACTGTAAAATGTATGCTATTCAGGTGTTTGTTGCAAAAATGCTGATTTCTTGATTATAATGAATCAAATTGGACATATGTAAAGATATTACTGGTTAATAATCCTTTCGAAATTCGATTGAAAAATATGAACTAATATTAATTTCTTGAAAATGTAGAAGGAATGCAAAAATATTAAGTTGATACGTTTCACAAAAAATCGTAGAGGCAACACAAAATACGGTGGAGAAATAAATATATGATTCAATATGATACAGTCTGAGCATTATTTTTTAAAAAAGGCTAATGAATGTAAAATATAGAACAGGCCAAGGCTCTTTTTTATCATACCTTTAAAACTAATTTTGAACAGTAATTTGAAACATTTTAACAACATCTAAAAGAAAAAGAATATTACCAATAAATTTAGTAAACATTAATGTATATATTACTTAAATATATATCCACGAATAAAATATAGACTTTCTTTCAATTTATAAGGTCAATGATGAAATTATGCCAATAGGGTGTTTGTAACTAGCATTTATTTATGAAAAGAAAAACGAAATATACGACTTATAAAATGTGTGTAGATATAATATAATTGGATCTAGCAGATTGAAAAAATCATACAAAAAATTGTAGGGAAGCAATAAAATGTTAACAATGGCCTTTCAAAAAAGATTAGTATATTATACTAATAAAAATATGCATTTTAAAATGTAAAAAATTAAAACTGTGTATACAAGTACAACTTAACCATTTATTTATATCCTTTATACCATAATATTTATTGGTAAACATGCTTAAAACAATTTTACGTTAAACATCTTTATTTATATATTAATTTGTGTCTGCTGACTTCTATAAAAACCGTATTATGAAAGAAAAAAAGAATAAATAACTTATTAAACAGTAAACAAATTTGTTATGATGTGAGCTTATAATTTAGTTAATAAAAATTTACCCTGTATTATAAATAAATAAATATTAAAAATATATTAAGTTTGCAAGGACAATAGAATAGCAAACTATAAAAAATCGTGAAACGTGATGGCCGAACAAATTGATAAGAAGAAATTCACTCCTTCCTCCAACTTTTCTTGGAAAATATTATACAAAACTGGCTATAATTTGATCCAAATATCAACAAATACTTCGACGATTACAGTTAATTAATCACAACTAGAATGAACAACTACAGGGTTGACATCCATTAAAAAAGCCATATAATAACGCCAAAGCATTTACTGAATGTCCTAGAAAGTTATACTATTAGTTGAAAATATCCAAAAAAAGAACCGATATATATATATATATATATATATATATATAATGAATGTCATAAACCAAGTTCATTTCATTTCCCAGAACAAGTATGATTCAGCATAACGGTTTATATGACTCAATGATATAAAAAATTATATTATTCTCAAAACTGATTATGAGGAGATCTTCAAAATAATTAGAAAACTGCAAAACTATTCAGCAATATATGAATAACTTAAGTATAATATTTATTACTAGCAGTAAAAGCTACACGTGATAATTTTGTTTAGTTTGTTCTTGTTGGAATTGTAATATTTACACAAGATAAGATAACGGATACAAAGCATAATAATTATATAAGAATATGTATACTAAAATCTTTTAATAATGTGAAACTTAATACATGTATTCATAAGATTTTTTCTTATCTTTTCTTGAAGGAATTCGATGAAGGAGACCTTTATTAATATATATTTTAAAATTCTGTACTTGTTGTAAGCACAATGTAAATTATTCCAAATTAGCACAAATTAGTTCAACATATGATAAACATAATAAAAAATGATAAAACGACTCAAAAAATGAAACATGGTAATACTTACGTACTAATCGACCACAAAAATAAAATTTCGTAAATAAAACCTTTAAAATTATTTTAAAACATAAAAATGCAATATAAAAATTATATACAATACGAATCTATAATTATGCACTTTATAATCCTATACTTGTGCACATAAATATTAAATTTTGTCTTGAAAATTCAATAAAAATGGTTTTATAGCAATAAGCAGCACAACGAGAATACTTATACAAACAAGCTGTTTAACAAGAAATTAAAAAACTTGTTTAGCAAGAAATTAAAAGTATAAAAGTTTCAAAAATTTATAGAAATATGAATAAATTAGCTTAAGTATATATGTATAACATCATATATATATATATATATATATATATATATATATATACAGCAAAAACTATTTTGATATTTTAAATCCAAAAACTCTTGTGGGATACAGAAAATGAGCTAATGTATAAAAACTCAATAAGGAATTGAATGTATGCCACAGATAAAAATAACCACTTGTCCAAAAAGACACCTAAAACTTCATGTGTTATTAGTTTTTATATTAAATATTAGTCTCTATATCTTAAGTTAAATATTTCATAGATATTCTTAATTGAACTAATTATTAATTTCATAATAATCAATAATTAATTAAACTTGCGGAAAGTCGAACATTCCACAAATACCTTATCTTATTCGGTGAATGTAATGTGTCGTATTATATCAAAATTTTATTATATTAAAACATACCAATGCAATGTTTGTGAAAAATACTTCTTTGAAGGTGTATGAGCCTTTCCATAAAAAATAGTATATTTGCCTAAAAGGTTTTGCTGTTCATTTGTTTGACTTTCATTGTAAATAAATCATTAAATTAATTTCTTCCAGTGTTCTAATTGTCTTGGAGTCATTTCCTTTCCTCAGCAATCATATTCCGAGCAAGCTGATGAGAAATTTTCTTTGTATACTCAATTTTCAAGTCCACGGAATAACTATTGAATTAAATACAATAAATTATTCCAAAAGGGTATATAAACAAGCCCCATCAATAACAAAAAAGTATCTTAGAAACTATAGATTCGTCTACAGTTAATGATTGAAAGTTCAAATGATTCTTTTTGCAGTTGAAAATAAATCAATATTACAACTAATTCAAATAAAGCTTCACCAATAATACACTCGATTTTACAATCTCGAACAAAAAAATAAAAACAATAGTCACATACAAAAATACGTGTTCTCAAAATGAGGATATTAAAAAAAGCGAGAATAAAATTTACATCCTAAATAGATAAAAAATGCCAGCTCGTATTTTATACAATTAAAAAACTAACGGTTTTAGAATATACTTTGAATATAACGACTTTAAGGAAATTGTTTGCAACACGAGCAAAAATTTTAATGTAACCTCCCAATTAATTATTTATTAAAATCATTGTGTAACATGATGAAATGCCTTTATAACTTTTGCGTGAATGTTTTCAGATACCGTTCTACATGAGTTCTTCAGAGGCCATTAGAATGGTTATTAAAAAAAAAACAAGTCTTGTACGTAGTACACGTGTTATTGTTCTCACTTGAACCGAACAACTAAAAATATTTTAATTGGTATTTTACCAGAATATCAAAAGCCACTTTTCGTGGTTTAAAATTGATGCTTTTGATATGTAAATACATATAAAAAAAATATTCAAAATTAGCAAAAAATACCAAAAGTAATTTCGACATACTATCAAATTTATATAAAAATAAGGTTTTTATATCGGCATCTACCATTTATCTTCATTAGCTAACTTTTATTTTCAAAAAATATTAATGTATATATATATATATATATATATATATATATATTAGGGTGGTCCTTAAAATGATCATTTTCGAATTTCCTTGCTCCCAGGGGCTCAAATGGTTCGAAATGGATAAAAAACTATTCTCTGAAAGTTTTAGCTCTTAATATTAATTTTTAGATAGCGCACAATTCAATCAAACTTCGTATGGAAAGAGCATGGTAAAGTTATTCTAACTTTTGGTTTAATTTTAGTTTAAAATAAGTAATTTCGTTTTATATACATATTGAAGAAAAAGATTAGATTTTTTTAGATGAATGCATATTAAAAATATTCCAAATTAGCCAGAAATACCAAAAGTAATTTCCACATATTATCAAATTTATCTAAAAAGGTTTTGATATTGGCATTTACCATTTATGCTCACCAGCTTACTTTTATATTCAAAAAATTTTAATGTATATATATGATGTATTTATAATTTCCAAGAATGCTGTAAAGTTATTCTAACTTTTAGTTTATAAAAGTTTTAATTTAAATTAATGTCGTTTCATAAACATATTGAAGATAAAGATCAGATTTTTTTAGATGATCGCAAAATAGGTAGAAAGATAAAAGAGGAAAATTTCTAGATAATTGTCAAATTAAAAATTAAAATTAACCCAAGTATCGTGGCACAATATTGTAATTTATATAGGCTCTATATAGTTTGGCAATATTATTCTGCTAACTTCTGTTAACAATATAGGTTCCATATAAATCCAATATTGATAAAAAATATTAAAATCACATTCAAAACCAATATGAGCTCAATATTAAGAACCACGAATAATAAATCATGTAAATGGCCAGAAGCTCAAATAATATTGTATTAAAAAATATAAGCATCTACCCACAATCAATAAAGAAAAAAATATTAATGTTTAATTTTTTTTAATAAATCTTCCACACATTCCTAGTCCCATTTAGACTCTTCTTCAGTAGCAAAAACTACAAACGTAGTATAAAAATAATAACTAATATGTAAAAATTATAAAATATGATAAGAAAAAATTTCTTTTATCCATAAAATAATACAAACATTTCAAAATATATAATTAAAGCGCAATAACTATTAAAGAAAACAAAAAAATCTTTTTCAAATAAATTTATATAACTTGAAATCATATCGCACATTCAACGAAATGCAATCGTTTGAAATTCTTTGTCCACAAAATACATATATTTTAAAATATATAATAAAAGAACAACATTTATCAAAGAGAATAAAAAATTCTAATTTCATATGAGACCAAATCAAATAGAGTAATGGAATTTGTTTCCTACATAGATTAAAACGTCTTATATATAAAAAATTATTATATATAAAATTATTTAAAACTGTACTTTAAATAAATGTCTAAATCAAATAGAATAATAGAATTTGCTTTATGCATGACTTATAAAATACATATAAAATTATGGAATTTAGAAAATAATCAGAATCAGGATTTTCGATTTGAAATGCAAAAAAAGAAATTTGATGTAATAAAATCAAGGCAATAATATTCATATATTTAATGTTTTTTATTATTGCAAACAAAGAAATTATTTAACAATTTCGATAAATTGTATAAATAATTAAATTTGTCTCTTAAATTGAAGGCGTGACTGAAAATTTTTATAAAACAGTGGCTATCACCAAGGAAATTATTTAATAATTTTGGAAAATTGTGTGAATGGATATATAAATAGTATAAATAGAAATGAAAATAGTAATTATTGTAATAAAATCAAGGCAATAATATTCACATAATTAATGTTTTTTTATTATTGCAAACAGAGAAATTATTTAACAATTTCGATAAATTGTATACATAATTAAATTTGTCTCTTAAATTGAAGGCATGACTGAAAATTTTTATCAATATGTGGGGAATCACCAAGGAAATTATTTAATAATTTGGAATCACCAAGGAAATTATTTAATAATTTTGGAAAATTGTATAAATGGATATATAAATAGAAATAAAAATAGTATTTATTGTAATAAAATCAAGGCAAAAATATTCCATATATTTAATGGTTTTATTATAGCAAACAAAGAAATTATTTAACAATTTAGATAAATTGTATAAATAATTAATTAAATTTGTCTCTTAACTGAAAATTTTTATCAACCTGTGACCGTCACCAAGAAAATTATTTAATAATTTTGGAAAATTGTATAAATAGATATATAAATGGTATGAATCGATAGAAAAATAGTATTTAATGTAGTAAAATCAAGGCAATCATATTCATATGTTTAATGTTTTTTATTAATAAAATAATTAAAGAAATTATTTAACAATTTCGATAAATTGTATAAATAATTAAATTTGTTTCTTAAATTGAAAGCATGACCGAAAATTTTTATTAACCTGTGGCCATCACCAAGAAAATTATTTAATAATTTTGGAAAATTGTATAAATGGATATATAAACAGTATAAATAGATAGAAAAATAGTATTTAATGTAATAAAATCAAATCAATCATATTCATATATTTATTGCTTTTTTATGATTGCAATCAAAATAATTATTTAACAATTTCGATAAATTGTATACATAATTAAATTTGTTTCTTAAATTGAAGGCATGACTGAAAATTTTTTATCATTAATAAAATAATTAAAGAAATTATTTAACAATCTCGATAAATTGTTAAATAATTAATGAAATTTGTCGCTTAACTGAAAATCTTTATCAACCTGTGGCCATCACCAAGGAAATTAATTAAATAAATTTGGAAAATTGTATAAATGGATATATAAATAGTACAAATAGATAATTTATTAATCTCTCAAGACATGAAAATTGTAAGAAATGCTTCACAAGCTTTAATAAATTTTGTCATAAAATTTCATCCAGTTTCAGCTTTAAATACATGTATTAAACAACCAAATGCAACTATTGTTACTATTAACCTGTGGCCATTATCAAAATCACTTTTGGAATAAATGCATCAATTAATTTTTATCACATAAATTGCAAAAATAATTAGGAGGGCAAGCCTTTTGAATAAAAACAGTTGTTCCATTTATATTAATTAAAATATATACAAATATAAGTCTCAATTGTATGTGACAGGATGTGACAAGTTGATCCATTAAATAAGGTCATTGCAATGCGTAAGAATCCCACAAATGAATTTGTACAAAGTAATTCAGAGGAATCACATATGACCAAAATTATACGAATATTCAGATCCAAAATAAATACCAAATTTAATATTTTTTTCCTACTAACAAAAGTAAGTTTTGTAAGGTACTCACCCAAAAATTTTGTAGTCCTTGTGAAAACATGGGTTTAATTTGTATAAAAACGATATTTATGTTAAAGAAGTGTATCACTATTGTTTTAAACACTAAATCATCACTGTTTTAAGTCAATAAATTGTTCACTTTTAATATAAATTAATTATCAGCACAAACACACCAACGTCAAAGAAGTGAACGCTTCGATTGTGTTTAACTTTCTGGGTGTTAGTAAGATTTGCTTGCTGGAGGAATGGTGGGGGAATGTTTGTTGATATTGTACTAATAAAATAATATTTAAACACTTAATTAAAATAATAATGATTGCATAAAATTCTTTATTGGTTGTTATAACCAAAACAACTTTGTTTTAATAAATAAAATGACAATAAACATTATAATCAAAATGACGTTTCTGCAACTTCAGGTGAAACCAGAGGTGCCCTCTCAGGAGTACCAACGGCACTCCCTTCATAGGTCGTTGACATATTCTGTATGTAAAATAGCTTTATTGGTTTTTACTTTGCCCGTATATATTTATATATGTATAACTAAATCTCACAAAAAAATAGTTTTAATTAGTTAAAACAAAATTTAAAACGTTTGCTGAATTATTTTCTCCCACAATTATTAAAACCAAAGTGCCAAATCATCTGTTAAGGTATATTGTCAAAATCATGTATCTATTATAACTGTACTCATCATTTAATTTTTTTTTAGGGTTTGCTGAATTATTTTCTCCCACAATTATTAAAACCAAAGTGCCAAATCATCTGTTAAGGTATATTGTCAAAATCATCTATCCATTATATCTGTACTCATCATTTAATTTTTTTAGGGGTATCTATTATAATGGCTGCAAATACTATTTCCACAGATGTTCAAATAAGATATTTGTTACAATGGTTTTCTGAATGGAGTGATCTCCAGCGAAGTGATTTTTTACCGATACTTGCAGAACAAATTGGATCATCTTCAAATTCTGTTTACATGAATGGTGTTGTGAATTCTTTAGCAAATGCAACGTGTGATGATAAGCCTATGAATTTATTTCAATGTCGGGTAATACTGTGTTTTTTATTGTAATCGGTTATTCGAATAATAGTTAGAGAAAGATTGTTATTTATTGATTTATATAAGCTCACAGACTTAATAAGAAAATATGTCAATCTAAAATTATATATGTAAATATGCTTTAGAGTACTGACAAATGATACAGAATTTCACAAATACTGACGTTTCAATATAGCTATCGAGTTTCAAGAAATACGACACAATCGCAATGTATTAACTTGCTTATGACTCATATGATAAACCAATATAATGAAAAATTCGAGGAATAATGAAAATATTATATATTGACAACTTTTTGTTTATTCAATCAAGTCGTATTATTTTTATATACCAATGAATATACACAGACACATTTTTACTTTATAGTATAATTATGTAAAGCCTTGGAATAATTTGCACATCTTAAAAAATCTTTAAAGAAATTTAATAAACAAAGACAATTTATTATGTTTTCAGTGTTTAATTAGTTTATTATTATGAATGATATTGTGATTGTTAGGTAAAATTGTTCCGAGGATGGACAGCCAATTGGACAGCTGATGAAATGAAAAGGCTAGCAGAAAAATTCAGCGAGATTGATTCAAGCTTTGGAGAAAAACTAGCAGATGAGCTGAGCCCCAAAACAAATAAGGACGATAAAACTGAAAATCCACCAGAACCAGCAGAGCCCCAGGGTATTGAAGATGTTACAGAAAACATCAATGCTGTGGATAATGTTGATAAAAGCATGATAACTGCTTAATTATGAATTTTCTATCACATCAATATTATCCTCAGGTAACTATGAGAAACATTCATTCCACTATTGTATGGGAAATATTTTAAACATCGATTATTTGAAGAAAAAATACCATGCTCAGTATTTTAAGAAACTGAATTTAGATATCTAGTGAAAAATGTATGCAGCATTTCTAATGGTTGTGATATCGAAATCTTATAAAGTATTGAATATTTTAATAATATTCTAGATTATATATTTAGCATTTTAATAATATTAATTATATTGAGTTTTAAATTGATTTAAAACTTACAAAAATTAATCGACATGTATTGTAGATATACGTACATTCCAGTGAAATATAACATCCTAGTATTTATCATTTCTAAATTGTAATATTTATACCTTGAAACTTGTTATTTCATTGGATCTGGGATGGATAGGGTTATTTACTATTTTACCCAAATTGTATTTATTACCAGTTGATTGAAAAATATATATTTATACTAAAAAACTTTGTTTTTATAAAGAGAAACACTATTAATTAATATAATGAATGTTATGCATTAAAACAAAAGTATTCAAAACATTGTTTTATTTAATATGTTTTCAGTGATTTAAAACTCTTAAATAAATTTCTCAAATACCTAATTTTATTTTAATAGTTTACTATTGTTTGGATATATGTGAAAGACATTAGCATTGGCATTGCATTATAATAATCAAGATCTATTGTGGATATGCGAAGATGCTAAAGAATCTTCTGTTTTTGGAATGAGAAACTCACTTTATATTGAACCAATTTCCTTCATAACGTTTTTAAATTTATTTTGAATAAATATTGTAATTCTGTGTGAGAGCCATATGTAACAGAAATTCTTCTATGAAGTTGTCCAGATATTTGCCTACTCTTTGGCATGTTTGAAAATATTACAAAATTTTTTAAAAGTAAATATAATAAATGCAAAAAAGTTATTTGCCAATTCGATTAAAAATTTACTATATATATCGTCAATTTCTGATCGCCTAAAATTGTGACAAACAAATTTAAAATAAATCTCTTTGTTTGCAAATATATATCTGAATGTACACACATTATTTGCGCATAAAATTTGAAATCATTAAACAAGCAATAAAATAAATCATATACTAAATAACTATGGTAATATATATTTTATTAAGCACGATAATTGCTACGTACATGCTTTTACGTAGCAATTATTACGTAGTTTAAAAACGAAAAGCTTTTTAGTTATATTTTATATAAGCTACAACTATATTATTATTCTAAAAATACTCAAATTTATAGTAGTTTTTAAAAACCAACGACAAAATTAGATAAGTATCACGCATCTTTCATGTGTAGTGGAATGAAAAAAAAATAAAAAAACACAT